GGCCCTAGATCAAGTTTCGGATGGGCCCTGTACAGACCAGTGGCGCAAACATTTGCGTGTGTTCGACGACGACGTAACCATCCCACCGCGGTCAAGTGCACTCGTGGCTGTTACATGTGACACGTCGAGCAGTTCTGAAAACATTGCCGAGCAAATTCCAACAATGATATTCAGCCATGGTTTATCTATCGCAAGAGGCGTTGTGAGCATAAAATGCGGACACACGCACGTCCTTGTTACAAACTTCAGCTCTAAACGCCGACATCTAACGAAGGGCATGACAGTCCCATGAAAGGGCATGACATAGCCCCATGAAAGGGCATGACATAACACATGGAAGAGCTCGCCGAGATGACAGACTGCCTAACTCTTGAAAAAGATAATTCCACTGATCTGCCCCCCGCACCTCTATCTGTTGATATTGGCCCAAGTTTGCTGCCGGCGCAGAAGCAAAGTATCATGCAGCTTATTAACAAGTTCGAAGATTGTTTCTCTTTGACGTCCAGGGTCCGTCAAACGCTGCTAACAAAACATTGAATTATAACGGACAACATGACCAGACCCATCAGGCGAAACCCGTACCGGGTAGCTCCGCGAGAACGTAAAGCCATTGAAAACCAGGTGCGACAGATGCTTGAAGACGATGTTATTCAGCCGTCGAAAAGCCCTTGGGCTTCCCCGGTTGTATTAGTGAAGAAAAAAGACGGCACCTTACGTTTCTGCATAGATTACCGCAAGCTGAATCAGATGACAAAAAAAGACGTCTACCCACTTCCACGTATCGACGATTCACTCGATCGACTACGGCATGCGCATTATTTCTCGTCGATGGGTCTAAGGAGTGGGTATTGGCAGATAGAAGTCGATGAAAGAGACCGAGAGAAAACAGCTTTCGTGACACCTGATGGCCATTTTGAATTTAAGGTACTTCCATTTGGCTTGTGCTCAGCACCGGCAACGTTTCCGCGGCTAATGGACACCGTACTATCAGGCCTCAAGTGGCACACGTGCTTAGTGTATTTAGATGACGTCATCGTATTTTCTGCCACATTCGACAAACACGTCAGGCGACTGCACTCAGTATTTCTAGCTATGCGTTCCGCTGGACTAAGACTTAAGCCGAAAAAATGCCACTTCGGCTTCGAAGAGCTTCTGTTCCTGGGACATCTTGTCAGTAGTGAAGGTGTGTGGCCTGACCCTGAAAAAAATAGCTGCCGTTACGAATTTTCCAGCGCCAACTGACAAAAAGGCGGTCAGACGGTTTTTAGGACTGTGTGCGTACTACCGACGCTTCATTGAGAACTTCTCGCGCATTGCCTCTCCGTTGATCCGTTTTACCAGAGAAGACGTCGCATTCGTATGGAATGAAGAACAGCAAAAATCGTTTGACGAGCTGCGGAAACGCCTTCAGAAGCCAGCAGTCCTCGCACACTTTGATGTTGACGGCCCGACAACAGTGCACACCAACTCTAGCAATGTCGGCTTAGGAGCTGTACTCTTGCAGTGGCAGGATGGCGCCGAACGAGTAATTGCTTATGCGAGCAGAACTCTTTCACGTGCAGAAGAAAATTATTCCACCACAGAAAAAGAGTGCCTTGCAATGGTGTGGGCGGTTATAAAATTCCGCCCATATCTGTATCGTCGTCCTTTTAATGTTGTCAGTGACCATCACTCCCTCTGCTGGCTGACGAATTCAAAAGACCCTTTAGGACGGTTGGCCCGCTGGAGCCTGAAGCTTCAAGAATTTGACATGACGGTGGTCTACAGACCGGGGAAGCGACATGCAGACCCTGATTGCCTTTCTCATGCGCCATACGAACCTGCGACGGCAGAAGATCACGATACAGCCTTTGTCGGAGTTGTAAACACAGCAACTGTCGCACAGCTGCACTGAGACGACACCAAACTAGAACCCATAATACGTTTTTTAGAGGGTTGCACTTCAGCTGTACCTAGACTGTTTGCGAGAGGGCTTCTGTCATTTTGCTTGCGCGACGACGTCCTGTATAAGATGAACTTCACGCCACACGGAAACGACTACTGACTACTTGTCATCCCAACATCTCTAAGGAGCAAAGTATTACAGGCATGCCACGATGAACCAACATCCAGCCACTTGGGTTACACGCAGACGTTGTGCAGAGTGGGGCAGAAATACTACTGGCCAAGACTGACGGCGACCGTTCAACACTATGTTCGGACGTGCTTTGATTGGCAGCGCAGAAAAGTTCTACCCGTCAAACCAGCAGGCCTCCTTCATCCTATTGTCGTGCCTGTTACTCTATTCGCTCAAGTCGGAATGGATCTTTTGGGCCCATTTCCAACATCATCGGCAGGTCACAGATGGATTATAGTAGCCACCGACTACCTCACTCGTCACGCCGAGACCAAGGCTCTGAAGAGTGGTACGGCAAGCGAAGCAGCCCGATTTTTCGTAGAGAATGTGGTGCTGAGGCATGCTGCTCCGTCAATGATAATAACTGACAGGGGAACTGCATTCTCAGCTGAACTATTACAGACAGTTTTAAGACTTAGTGGCACATCCCACCGGCGAACAACGACGTATCATCCGCAAGCGAATGGTCTTACGGAGCGTCTCAACAAGACACTTGCGGGTATGCTCTGCGTGTACATCGATGTGGAGCATAAAAACTGGGACGAGATCTTACCGTATGTCACGTTCGCCTATAACACGGCTCATCAAGAAACAACATGAACAACGCCATTCCGCCTTCTTCATGGTCGTGAAGTCACCACTATTCTAGATGCTATGCTGCCGCACGAGTGCGAAGACACCGAAACGGATGCTGATTATACTGATTATATCACTCAGCTTGCCGAAGAAGCCCGACAACTTGCATGCCTACGTATTAGTCGCCAGCAGGACTACGATTCAAGACGGTACAACCTTCGTCACCGAGCAGTCTCCTACGAGCCAGGAGAGAAAGTTTGGATATGAACTCCTATTTGGCGCCGTGGCTTCTAAGAAAAACTGTTAAGACGGTTCTCCGACGTCTCAGTGACATTATTATGAGGTTGTTCCTGATACTGTGCACTCCCTAAGGCGTCGAAGGTATGCTCCAGAAGTTGTGCGTGTGGTACGCATGAAGCCTTATTTCTGCGAATGAGCTCATGCGTTTCCAATGAGTACAAACCACTTTGATTATAAAGCATCGGGACAATGCTTTCTTGAATGGGACACTAATGTCACAGCTAAAGGCCGGGCAAGAAGACAGAGGACGACGAAGTGATTGATTGATTGATATGAGGGGTTTAACGTCCCAAAACCACCATATGATTATGAGAGACGCCATAGTGGAGGACTCCGGAAATTTCGACCACCTGGGGTTCTTTAAGAGGACGACGAAGTGATGAGTGTAGACAGCACCTACGGTTCCTCCTAGGAAGACGACGTCGAAGCGGCTGCTCTTTTGTTCTGTTGATACAGACCTCATTTTTCCTGGTCGCACCGTCGTCCTGTATCCTGTTATTGTCACCTAGCGACAATATTATTAATGACCTCCGCTCTGCTGGTGCTTCCATGCCCACGGAAATAACTTTTGAGCGGTTCGTCAAAGCTGACAACAAGCTCGCCTTCTGCGCAGAGCTAACCGACGACGAAATAGTCAGTAAGGTTATGCCGGATTCAGACAACATCGATGTCAAAAATGAGGAACTGACGCCTGCGCCACCTACGACCGCCGAATTCATGCGAGCATTGATGACGCTGTCATCGGTGTATAGTGATGACATGACCCTTGTTCAGATCGAGGCAAATGTGATCACATGGAAGCGGAACGCCGTTCAAACAAGGATCAACAAGTTTTTCAAGCCACTGCAGCTCTAACACCGGCTGCTCTGACGGCACCCGCTGTCGGCTGCATGCATTTTTTTTAAGGGCTCTTTTCAGAGCCACCCCACTGATGCTTTGGCAGAGTTACGGAAGTCTGGTACTTCGACCTTGACCCTCTTGATCGGAGAAATATCAATGAAACGGAGGGTTTTTTGCTTGCATTGAGAAATATTAGCAAAATGTTGCATTTTTTTGCTTCCATTGAAAATTATCAGTAAAATAATGCGTTTTTTTTCTTGCATTCATTTTCTCGGACTGCCGGAATTTTCGGATGATTTTCGCTCTCTAGAGGGTCCAAAAAATCGGCAGTTGACTGTAGCGCCTTGAAGGCAGTGCGCAGATTTTTCAGTCCATCTACCGTTTTTGGAGCCACTGAACCAAACTGCAATGATGCTTGCAGCTGATTCTGGTACATCATTTTATTTTCTGCAGTACACTCTTCTATCTTCTCTTGTCATCATCAACATTAGAAAGCATTTGCAGTGCAAATGCAGAGTCCAGCCATGGTGACAAAAGGCTGCACAAGCCATTCTTGATTGATTTGTAGGGTTTAACGTCCCAAAACCACGATATGATTACGAGAGACGCTGTAGTGGCGGGCTCCGGAAATTTCGACCACCTGGGGTTCTTTAATGTGCACCCAAATCTGAGCACACGGGCCTACAATATTTTCACCTCTATCGGAAATGCAGCCACCGCAGCTGGGATTCGATCCCGCGACCTGCGGGTCAGCAGCTGAGTACCTTAGCTACTAGACCACCGCGGAGGGGCACAAGCCATTCTGAAGTGAAACAGTGCCCTGTATAGATGGACAAAGACATACGACACAAGAACACAAAACAAACAAGGACCTAACGTCTCTGTTCATCTATGCAGCGTATGGTTTCACATCAGAGTGCCCCACCGACCAGCCCCAGTGCAAACGCCTTGATACATAAACCAGTCAATGAAAATAAAACACTTGCATGGCAAGGTTCGTTATACCAACAAAGACAATGCAAAACAAACTCAACGATGCCTCTTGTCATCGCATGAAATCATGGTCACTCCTACACGAGGCAGAGTTCATGCAGAACAAATATTAAAGATCGGCAACTGAATATACACAGACTGACTGGCAGAAATCACTTTTAGTCTGGACACTGACCTTGGCGAGAAACTCAACGATGTACTTGAGCAGCTCATAGTTGTCCTCGGGCAGCCGCTCCAGCAGCAAGGTACGCGCCTGCACCAACTTCTCAGACTGGTCAAGCTCTGTCAGCAGGAAAACAATAAACATTTTTTAAACTTGCCATTTTTAATTAACCTTTGGAGACAAGACTGAAAGACAAGCTGGTTGGCACATATACAGTAAAACCTCGCCAATTTGAAACCACAGGGACTGTGAAAATCTTCTAATTAAGTGGGCTTTCAAATTAACAAAACTTACAGAAGGTGGGATGCAAGAAATTTGGATTATTGAATATAACCAGAGGTGGTTGCTTGTTGTGCAGGCTAGTCCAGAGCTCCAAGGTTTTACCACAACACCACAGCCCAACTTGCCAACCTAGGAGCATGAAAATTATGAAGACAGCTGCAGGGAAGGGGGAGGTATACTTTACTCTCTCACAAAATATAGGCGCACTGTTTTTTGGGAAACCCGGCTCCAAGTTCAGGGTGCGCCTATTTCGCAGAGTAAGATTTTCAAAAATTTTATTTTTGACGATAGCATAGACCACTGACGTATACATCTCCGAAGTCACGATTATCCGCACTACACCTAAAACCTTTTTCATAGGCTACACTAGCAAAAAACGTGTTGAGCATGGAGTCTCGCGTGTCCGAGAACAGAGGCAGGCGATGCATTCAAATTTTCAAAAATTAACATCGAAAAGCTTGAGTTGCCACCGAAATGAACACAAAAAAAAAAATATGAAAAAAAAAACGCCATCGCCGATTACGTTTGAGGCCACATAGATTACTTGTGCACTGAACGGTAGCGCTCATTCGATTTCATGGGCTCGCACCCAAATATCCAAGACATTGCAATCGCATTGCAAACTACCATTCGAGTGTTGCAAGCGCCACAAAAACCCCCTTTTTCTTCAAGTAGAGCCATCGAAAAGAGTTACGTTGATTTTGTACAAAACGGCAATATGATCGCCCACAACTGCCACCGAAAAGCACGAAGTGATTAGGCCTAGCCTGCAGTTGGGCTTGCTGTCGAGACAACATGACGATTTGGCGTCGAAGGAAATTACACTCAAGTGCTGATCTAAAAGCAGCACACGCGATGCGATGTAAGGGTTCAAGGTCAGAAAGTCAATGGTAACAAAAGTCCATCGAGCTTGTGCATGTCCGCGTAGTGGCAGCAAATGCTTAAGCTCACGTCGGAAAGCAGACAGGCTTTTAATTTTGTGGATGACATAGCAAACGCAACAACGACGACGTTTTAGGGGTGAAGCTCCTCTAAGTATAATCTTGTCTTGCGTCAGGCACAATTGGCAATATCTCACAAGCCGCAGTGGTTCGTAGTCGTCGCCAGACAGACAAACAGACCGACAAACAAACAGACGGACGTTTCATCCCAGTCATCATCATTCACTCCATAGATTTGCTGTGAGTTTTTTTTCTGACAGGAAACTCTATACACACTTGACGAGGACGCGATTGTGCGTTCCATACAGAACGTGTGCGGCTGGCTAGCGGCCAGGGCTACGGCCGCACGTGGTAGCAAAGGTTACTCTGACGCCTAGGCAACTGCCCTTCTTCCTCAGTTGGCAAGCCCGCGGAGTTGGCTCGGCATTGCCAAAGTCGTTTTTTGTTTCCTTTTCTTTTTTTTTTTTTCGCTTCAGCTAATGTAAAATGGCATCGAATCGCAACCGTGCAAATACGGTACAGAATTACTGATCACAGACAAGTTCGAGATGCGCTAATTATGCGTGGAAATAAAAATTTCCTATTTCTCACGACCAAGCTGGCAGCGCACCTAAGCGATTGTGCCTACTATGCGAGTAAATGCGGTATATTGAGAATTACTGCGACTGAGACATTTGTGATCTCCTGTCGTTGCTTTCATGCAACGCGACCGCGAAAACACGACGCTTCAGCTGTGTATACATTTTGGTATCTCTTAGCCACTCCCCAGACAAAGGCAGTTCTTGTACGTCCACACCCGTACTGCTTCACGTCCTCGCACTTCAGGAACATTTTCGAAAGAACGGTCATGCTCGTGATCACGAGTGTTTAGTGGGAAGTTGTGGTCCGCAAGAAATCCCGTCAATAGGCATTCTCCACGAATCGCACTGCCATGTCAGCTATTTTAGAAGAAACCCCGATACTGCCCTGACCTTACGCAGACTGAACGTAGTTTTCATGCTTCTGTCAAGCGATGTACACCTTTATTTATGCCTTGCCGCAAAGCGAAACGCTTACATTACAGGTGCACGTAATTTGTACTTGTCACCTTTCTGTGAAGTCCCACAGCACAAAAACTCAGCTGTGTACGTGTTCACAAACACTAGCAAGAACTTCTTTGCTTTTGACACCGTCATGGGCCTTACAACTGAACTGGGGAAACAATCAACCCCACATAACACAATTGACAACTAGGCAAGTGGTGTAGGCCCAGTGTGCGAAATGCGAGAACCAAGACAGACAAACACAAAAATTGTACATTTTCCCTCACCTCCGCCTATATGCGCAGAACTATTCTGCCTGGAATTTACTTACCGAAACTGTCGCAGCAGGAAAGGCTGATATACGTGTGTGATTAAAAAAAAAATAACTCTGCCGTGGCACGCACATTTCAGGAGCTTTGAGTTAGCATTCGTACATTCGGGAAATAAGGTCAAAATTAGAAAGTATGCCTGACAATTCAGAAGAGTTGGCAGGTATGAACCTGGCTGCAGACACAGGTGAACGGCAGGCTCCGCTGCTGCCAGCAGAAGAAAACAGAAGTCATGGTCAGCTAAAATGAGCGTCTGTGGAAAAAAAATTATGTGCTTCACTGCTACACAGAGGAGACATGCGGGCAGCATGTCACCTGCTCCTCATAGCGTCAGCGTGTCATGATACGAACATTTGCCCATTCTTTGGGGTAAAATAAGAAATTTGTAGTGGCCTATTTTTTCTGGTAAAATGAGGAATAATGACCAGTGTGATGAAATTTGCGATATGTATTGGCTAGAAAACATGATCATTGAAGTGTTTGAACAGAGTTTTCGAAGCAACTGTACATACAAGAACTCCACCAGTGGTGCAAATGCCCGAATTGCTAAACCAGCTGCCATTCGGAAGTTTGCATGCTTGCATACATCACGAATTGTGCTAGACTGACCTTTATAAGTTTCGTTATATTCCCAGAAAGAGTGGGTAAATCATGATGCCTTGACATTGGAAGAAGCATGCGACGTGCTCCCTGTGTGTCACCCCTATGGTGCAAAGGAGCACGTTTTTTTCGCAGGCGCACATTTAAAGGGGCTCTGCAACATAATGTGGAAATATATGAGCGCACAAGGTAGAAGGAAAAGCACTCGACAGGAAAGACGCTCAACTTACAACTGAACTTCTATAGGGGGAGGGGGGGGGGAAAAAGTGTGGCACCTTGAAGTGATAATTGGTTGCGCCTGTGCGTTTGTGTTCTCGTGCAATGAATGTTTTCTAATAAAAGTTCAGTTGTAAGTTGAGCGTCTTTCCTGTCAAGTGCTTTTTCTTCTACCTTGTGAGCTCATATATTTCCACATTATGTTGTACCAACTGGCCCAGCATTCCACTTTATTGGGCTCTGCAACACTTTTGAGCATGGTCAGAAAACGCTGCCGATCAGTAGTAGAGCCTCCAGAGAACACGCGTGCCAAATATTATAGTACAGCACGCGGCCTGGAATTCACAATAAATTATCAGTCAGCTAAAATCGCTTTCTCTTCTCTCGACAAATGACTGAAGATGCTAAAAAATTACTCCTAGAAGGCCTTATATCAACCATTGGCTGATTTGAACATGCCGCGCTCGGTCGTTACAGAGATCGCCGCGGGAGGCCTCGACTTGTCCGCACGTGCATGCGTGATCACACTGAAAAAGTCGCGTATTCGGAGAAAAAAAAAGTGCTCAAGGTCGAAGGCACACATGACGATTTTCTTTGCCCCTGCCATCCCTCCCTGCTTAGTTTTCAGTGCTTACCTGGGGACAAGAGAAAAGATAATCTGATTGCAGCGTGGGACAAATTTTTGTAACTCCGCTCGTACTGGATGGATTCTTAACATTTTGGTGGCTTTGAATTCATGAGGCAATAGGCTCTTTTAGAGAATCCATTCCATGGTTACTTGAAAAAGTGTTTCAGGGCCCCTTTAAGTTGATCCCAAGACCAACTTTCTTTTCAAATGCAAAGCACTTCTTCGCATACTGCACGCACTTTTGGCATCTGTCTGTCTGTGTGTCTGTCTAGTTGCTTATGTCTGGGTGGTCTCGTGATAACCCGTTAACTTAGCGTGAGCCAAAATTAGTATGGGAGGGTAAGATGGTTCGATGAGTATGACATGCCAGTCAAGACATAAATAATGTCACGATCTCGTCATGTACATCGTCAAACACATCCCGCAAGACAGTGGCACATACACGTGGATGTGCAACTGGTATGCAGGTATGTGATGTGCCACAGGTGATTAACAGTCAGTATCTACAATTTTAACATGTGAGCATTAAGAAAAATCTAACATCAGCAGCGTTGACCCAACGAGCGCAAAAAGAATAAACGTCAGTGTCCCAGCAGGAACCAAACGCAGGCATTATTCTGCATGGCACTTAAGCGTTCTACCACGGAGCCATGCTAGGTTTTCGAACTAATTATCAAATATACTGTAATGTTCCTGATACGCCAATTACGGTTGCATTGCTGGCTGTAAAACTTTATCAACATTACATATGTACTGCTATGATACAGCCGACATGTCTTGTTAACACAAGTTGTAGTTACCGTAATTACTCGAATCTAACGCGCACCTTTTTTCTGGTTAAGCGAGTTCATAAATCGCATGCACGTTAGAATTGAGTACGAAAAAAAAAATTAATACGGTCATTCTATTGTCATCGGCATTCCAAAATGGCCGCCGCCTACGTGCGTTGGCATGGTGCGTCGGCCATTTCTGCCTATGGGTTTCGCATGTGCAGCACTTCGTACGTGTGCTGAGGAGTTCGTCATCTTGGTGTGCATTAGCATCGACGGCATGAAAGGGCCGACTCCAAAAACTCGACGAGTGCACCACGATGCCGCTTTT